AGGAAGGAATCAAGCCTGTCGTATATACTCGTAAAGCTAAAAAATGTCGCCGTTCCTTATGGAAACAAACTAAAAAAATTTTCCGCCGTTTATTATGCTGCGCATAACGCAGTTCGTTACCTATTGTTTACTTCGTTAAAATTTAATGGATAATATTTAATATTGTTTAGTTATATTATATTATGATAGCTAGTAGCTATTAAAAATTATATTTGACATAAATAAACTTTTTTGTTATGTTATTTTATCTGCTATAAGTTCATTCTATTACTTCTATTATAAAATATTACAAAAATGTAGCAAGTTAAATTTTCTTAAACGTCTTTTGTGTTTAATAGGTACGGTTGTAACATCACAATCATTTCAAACATCGACGATATACCGATCGCAATGATTTAATCACTTTTCTCCAATAAGTAGAATGTTAACAAAAAGCTTTTCAAAAGAACATTTTTATTTGAAATTAAAAATGTGTGTTGTGGTTTCAAAAAGTAAAAAGCTTTAATACATTACCTATACTGTTTTTCTAATATTTCAGCTATGTCTGCAACCAAAATCAAGACATCATAGGTACCTACTCCTTATCTGATCAGAACGGCTAAAAATTCTTAATTGGTCTAAACTTGGCAAACTATGTTTACCCAGCTCTGTTGAAAAGGTGCTACATCTCGATGCATAATTTACCAGTTATGGTGTCTGAATGCTGTAGGCTGTAGGCTGTAGCGAAACACTGAGTAATCGAAAACGTAAATCATTGTGATTTGTGGTACCGGACCAGAAAATTTGTTAGGCGCATATTATGTTACGCACAGTATTAGTGGTTTAAAGTTCGTCGTGTACACAATTGACGATAATCATATAAAATTATTAAAATTATGAATATTTCAAATTATTATGAAAGGTATAGCATAATATGATATAATAAATATTATAAATGATAAAATATGCACACGGAAACATCTAGAAACAATTCAAATTAGCATACTCTGGCAGAAAAAATTAAGTTAATCAACAATTAAAATTATTTTTTTTTTTTTTTTGTAATAATAATTAAATATAAATACAAATTATAATTATTGCAATAGTTTTTATTAAAAAAAAAATATTTATACGTAAATACTTTATTTTTATTCATTGAAAATAATGAACAAAAAGTTTTTAATTCCAGCTTCAAAATGGATTGTATGGTGCGATCTAGCGATGTCCAAAGTTTATACTGCTTTTGAACACGGCAATAAGATGTAACGGTGTGCAGGTAGGTTTAGTAGTTTACAAAAGGATTAATCAGAGTTGAAAGTATTGTGTAGTGTGTATTGTGCTCACATTAAGCAATCAGTGGATCTTATCTTTTCGATACTTTAAAAAGAGTTTATTTTCGACTATTTTAGTCTTTATTTTTTTAACCTGTTATATTTTAAATTCATTTAAATGCATATTTTTTTAAAATTTTTTCTAAGACATATATTTTGAATTCATATTTTGCCAGTTTTTAGTGTACAAGAGTATGCTTATTTAGGCATTTTTTAAGGCATGGACTTACGAACTCTGGTAATTACTATAATCGAGGATAGGTAGAAGGATCTTAAATACATTTAAATAACCAGGACTTAATTACATTTATTATTATTAGAGCAAGGACTTTCATGCACTAAAAAATCAAATATACATTTAAATATGCTTTCAAAAAAATTAATACACTAGCTCTAAAAATTATATTTTTTCTTTAAATATTTAATTTTGATAATTTTATATTATCTCTCTATAAGTTTTAACTGCATTTTATATCACTTCATTGTAATCTAATCTACAACTATGATAAAATGAGTCTCTTTCATATTAATGAGAATAATAGAAACAGTTAAATATAATAATTTGTGTCCTTAATCATGAAAAATATTCACTGAAAAACATAATTTTTGAAAAACCTTCAAAATATGCACTACAAACTAAAAATATGTCCTTTAAACCCAAAAATGTCAAAATATACAAAAATATGCACTAAAAACTTTGAGATTACAAACGTTGTGAAATGTATTGTGTTCTTACTCTGCATACGAAAAACTCAACCAGAAAAAATATGCAAATGTATGAAAGCTTGCTCTAATTATTATTATTGCTTTAATTGTTTAGTAAATATTTATAAACAATTAATACCTACTTACTAATTATGTAATTGAAGTTTCATAATAGTAGATCTGTAGATCATGCTTAGTTTGATAGTCTGTAATATGTACAGTAAATTTTTATTCTTATATGGTGTGTATGTGTATTAGACATTAGTAATCGGTTTGACATTTAGTTGTGCTTAAACATGTTAAATCGGTTAATAATAAATCATATTGTAAGAGCTTGTATAATATAATAAATAATAATATTATTTATTAAGCTACTAATACACTGTCATATAACACATTATTAAACAAACTTTACTGCTTAGATGCTACCAAAACAATAAAATTTTACTGCCACCCCTACGGTGTATAAAGATCTAGATAACTACATAGGTGCTAATGCATTTATTTTAAATTTAAATATTTAAGAATAAATAAATTTGATTTAAAATTACATTTTTTTTTTTTTTTTTTTTAATTACTTAAAATGTATGAACCTACCATTAAAATATGACCTAAAAAGCTAGATGATGTTTAGTAACTAGTAAGTAAATATGATCTAATAACTTATTAGAGCATACCTGTATTAAAGCTTATTAATAATAAACAAAAACCCAAAACTATGCAGAATTAAATTTTTAATTTAAATAATTTATATTCCAAATAAAATTTTTATTTGACCCAGTTACTTATTAAGTTATTAAAAAATAATGCAAATGCTACAAGTTCCTAAGTCGAGAAAAGGTCATATTTAACAGTGTCTATTATTATATTTCATAATTAAAAAAAAAATTGCTTAACATGAATATTATTTATTTAATTATATTATATTTCATGATCACAGTCTTTACTAATCTTAGTTGTAATATAAAGTACTTAAGTACGTATTATGTATTAATTTATATGTTCTTTAAAAAAGAATGTTTGAAACATTTGTATTTAGTTTAATGGGTTTATGAATTAGATTAACAAATTGGATAATTATTATATTAAACATACAGATCTTACTCAATTTAATAAAAAGTAAGCTTTTTTTTTTACTTTCTTAATCAAATATAATAATTTGTATATATTTAAAAAATAATAATAAATAAAAAAAAGTCAATTGTCTAGAAAATAAAATAACATATAATATATAATACATACAATGTATTATAAACCCTGTACAATATAATATATAATATGCATAACATAATTTAAATAATGGCAACAAGAATAATAATATAAATATGTATATGAAATTTCAAAATTAAAAATATTATATATTTTATATATATGACGTAAATTATAACATGAGCAATAAAATGTTTTGGATAATACTATAAAAATAATTATTGTACTTAGGACATATCTGCTGTTATACGAGGCAATACATGTGTTTGAACACCTTTACTTGCATCGTATACTTGACCAGTAGAAAATTGTTCCATTTTAGATTCTATAACATAAAAAAATAAGAAACAAAAATAAAAATCAATACATTGGTTTAATAGATTTTATAAAAAGGAATTCAGTTATGAATTTCCATGGAAATGAATTATAGAAAAATATTGATACTGTTAGCTTACCAATGTTTTGACGTGAATTGGATGGAAAGTAACGAAAAACATTTAATGTAGGTATAGGTAAATATCCACTCATTAATGGCATTACCTCGACTGAAACACTCTGTGTTATTGAATTTGGTAAAAATGTGATAACATCTACAAAAATAATCAAAAAACATAAGATTTTAGTTATATTTAGCATACTACGTGTAAGCATAATAAATTAGGTAATAGCTAACTAAGAGGACACATATATTAGATATTCACATTTAATATCTCAGTTGTCATTGTTTTACAAACCTATAGTAAAGCCAAATTATAAACAGCATTACACATTTAATTTTTTTAGTTACTTTTTGTCATAGAATGAATTGATCTATCAACAAATTCAAGAATAACAACATAAACATAAAAATTAGATATAAATTCTTAAATATAATTTATTAATCATGATACATTTATGAGGGCCAGATACAGATCCTATTGAAAACAAATTAAATTAAAAACACATATTATTGAACATACCAGATCCACGGCCACAAACTGCCCACATTGTTTTGTCTGCAACAATTTCGTATTTAAATGAAATTTCACTTAAAGGAATGTTTGGATATTCAGATCTCTTGAAATTGGCAGTGTATGTACACACTGTATTCATGCGACAGAATTCTCCACTTTTACCAGCCATTTCAACTCCACTTTCGATTAACAGTAGTGTCTGTTTTAATTAAATATACTATTTTAATTTAAACATGTAAAGTGAATAAATAAAATAACATTCAATTTTAACCTTATAATTGTTAATTGTAAACTCATAATTTAAATCTTGAGTACAATCTGGTTTTTCAGCAGATGAATATTTTGTTTGGAAATTTAATTTCAATGATTCAGCTAATGTTCCTGATGTATTGATGTCTGTTGTTGACAAATTTATCTCCCACAAATACCCTATTGTTTCACCATTTTTCAGATACTAAAAAAAATTTTAATTATCATATTTTATTAAATTTTATTAACAAATACAATATTAGATTGTTTATGAATGTCAAAAAATAAAACACTAGAAATATTAAGTTGCATAAACTGAAAAAAAAGGTGCATTTATAAAGAGGTAAATACCTCCAAAAAGGAACGGTTCTTCAAGTCCACTGCATGCAATCTTCTGCCTAAATTTAAACCCCTAATGTTTAACCCAAAAAATAAAAAGAAAAAAAATCTACTAACTTTAGATACTTTTTGAATACTTACAGTTAATGGGTCACATGTTGGGTTCAATGAGATTAACTCGACAATTGAATTAGTAGGACTAATACAGATTATTTCTGGTATCATCAAAGCCAACGACCAATCAGTATGACAAGCAATGTTTATGCCAACAAATTTACGATAATGACAAGTATGTAACCGATGAGTTAGAGTTAGAGGAAGATTGAAGTCTATAGAAACGCAAATCATTTCTTCATCATCTGATGAAGTTTCACATTTTATCCATAGCTAAAATACATTTATAGTTATTATCAACAAATTTTGAAATATATTTAAAAATAGAAATTACCTTATGGTGAACTATTCTAGGATGATCTTTTAATGGCGGTAACTGGGCGAAAAATTTGATTGGTAAAGATACTGAATGACTAGAATTTATAGATAATGGAGATTTCACATACATCTCAGAACAAAATTCTGTTTTATCCTCCAAACAAAAAGTCAAACCAGGCGTGGAATGTAATCGAATTTTCTCAACAATCTAAAAAAAAAAAAATAAACCAGCAAGCATAAAATTTTTATTTTATTATTGATTCAGACAATAAGAAAGAAATTAATTACTTTTTTTGATTTCGTCCCAAAATGAAGAGATAACGTTGACATTTCTTCAATACCAGCAAATAAGCATTTGCTATCTGGTAAAATAAGCTGAGCAGTTGAGTTAACATTTTTTAATGCAAACACAAGACCACGTGGTATACTTGTCAACAATTCTAAACGAGGTTGTAGTATTATAGATAATTTGTCCAAGAAGTAAATTCCAGATTCTATATTTTTTGAATTCTAAAATATTATAAGCTATTTAATTTTTAGACTTAAATCAGTAATTTATAGTTTAATTATAACTTATTAATACAATTATCAAAAATATAAATATTTATAATTTACATTAAGTGTTAGATTAATGATATTCATTCCGGGTTGAATATCTACATTATTTGCAGATATTATGTCATGAAATTCATTTTTATTATAATTCATTGATGGTTTTCTTCTTTGACTATCTTGCCGCCTAAATTTAAATAAATTAAAGATAAATAATGTATTTATAATACTAATAGTATGGCAAAAGTAATACTACAGAATCAACATTGATTATTACCTCAAGTATGATTTTTGATTTAAGCAAGTTATACCAGTAGATGCAAAATGACCGTCTTGTTGATAAATATGATTGTAAGTCATTGGTAATATATTGGCTTTGTTTATATCATAGCTATAGGTGTTTTTTACCAAGTTTAATTTGTTTTTCATCTTTTTCAATGTAGATCCAATTATTACAGAAATAGCAATTTTTGGACACACAATTGTTTTAGGGAGATTGCTTTTAAATTTTAGCGATACTGTTGATGGATAATTACTTTCTTCGTTATTGCATTTTACATCTATTTGATCCAACACTATTACATCTTCCATTGGATAAATGCATTCTATAATTAATGATCATATTCAATTGGGTTAGTACAGTATTATAAAATTTGTAATATTTAAATGTAATTTTATAATATTTATGAAAAAAATACAGTAAATATCACACATATTTTGAATGTGAGGCAAATATAAATTCTATTAATATGTTTATCAATTAACAAGAACAATTAGTAAAATAATTTATTTTTTCTTTCTTTGGTTCTTATTTTAAAAAAATTTTTATTTTAAATTCAAATATTTACAATAATATATTAAAAATTTTGATTAGTTAATATTTTTAGTTATTTTGTATTTAGATCCCTTGAATTGTTTCATTTTCAAATTTAAATTTAATTTAATATGTTGTTGGTGATTAATGTCCTCATGATTTCCAATTTAACCATTTTTGTTTCATCAAATTCCAAACATATCTTCTACTTATTCACTTTAATTAATAAGTTATAAAATCATATGCATTTGTAGACATATATTATTTAAAATATCACAAGCAATACAGCTAATCATTTTTAATAAATGTCAATTAGTTCAAATAGTCTATATCTCCTTCAATGCAGATTGGGTAATGTAATGTAATGTGTTTACATTTAAAAAAAAAAAATCATTCAGGAAAAATACTCACATTAATTTCAATAAATATAAACTTTAAGACAAAAAAAAAAAAATTATACCAAGAAATATACTTAATAATTATATTATGTTCATAATAAACATTAAAATGTTAATTGGAAAACTTTACCTGAAGTCTGATAAAGACAACAATTTTAGAATTGTTCAAAATATTATTGTTGCTTTTTATAAAATAAATAATTGTTACAGAATTACAATATTGTTTTATATAAGTGTGTAAATTAATAATTGAAATTCTAAAATATCTTACCTATACTTGAATCTTGAACCATGCTTAACATCTGGTCAAAATGATCTAGTCTAATTTGAAGATTGCATTCAGGGGCAGAAGCTAATTGTAAACATGTTTTTACAAATCTAAAATTTAAAATAACATATTAATTAAAATAATTGCATTGTGATATAATAAAAAAAATTCTAAAACAGTAATACATCAATAAAAAATAAAACATACTGATCAACATTTCCAATTTTTTTAAAACATTTGACTAATTCTAAATTTGTTTGTACTATTAATAATTTCCAGTTATCTTGTTCAAATAGCTTAAGAGCTTTAACTAAAAACATAGTTCTTTTTGTCGTATCCCCAGATAATGTGTAAAATTTAGCTAGTTCTAAACCAACTAAGCTATGTGCACATCTCATTAATTTATTATGTTTATAAGTGCTAATTGCTAATTCAGCTATATCCTAAATACATAAAATTGTACAGTTATTAATATTATTAAAGTTATCATTATTTATATTAATATGGTATATTAAATAATATATTTGACACACCAAATAATGTTTACTGAATGTTTCAGAAGATGAGAGAGCTGTTTTAAGAGTTGCTACTGATTCAGTAGCTGTAGTCAAATCATGACCACTCTGCATTCCACCACATAAAACTTGTACAGTATGAAGTTGTTCAGTAGTTTGAACACTGCCTGGGAGTAGTCCACAAAGATTTCCCAATTCATATAACTTAACACAAAATGTAAATAACAAGTAAATAATTAAATTACAGAAATAAATAATTTATCATTAATATTTACCTTTTTTAACGAATAATATAAAAGTGGAGCAGTGTGATGAGAACATTCTTCTAAATGTTCTGGTTTTTTAACAGATTGACAAATAACTAAAATTTGAGCACAGCATTGCAAAACCCAACAAGCTACTGAACCTTGTGGGCATTCAATTTCCAATGTTTTCAAGTCACTTACTGCTTGATGAAGAAATGTCAATGCTCTTTCTGCCACCTGTAATTAATATTTATAACTTAATGTAAATGAAAATAAATTAAAACAAAACAATTAATACACACAATCCAAGGCTTGGATGCAGCCATCAATAGTGATGCTTGGCGTGAAAACAAATAGCATCTAAATTCAAGAAGTGATAGTTTTCTAATTTTAATGGCTTCCCTTTGTTTACGACTAATATTTTCCATAAATAACACAGCAGACCACCATTCTAAGACAACTTGGAATTCAGTTAACCATTTAGGAACATCTATAAAATAAAATAAACACCAATAAACAAAAAGATCATAATATTATGTTAATTATAATATATAAATATTTACTTCCAACTTGAGAATTTAATATAAATTGGGTAAACATGGCATCTAGTTCATCATATTGGACTAAAGCTTCATCATGAATTCCAAGCATTTCCAAGGCAAAAGCCAATTCTTCCTATTTAAGCAAAATATTTAAAAAATTAATTCTGTAAATTAAAAGCATGTAAAAATGTGTATTACTTGGTACAAAAAATATTTGCAAAAACTCCAAGATGGATCATTTCTCTGCTCTCTATAATTTCTTATATTATCTTCATATTTTAAAAACAATCTATCAAATGCAGATAAAATTAATAGACGTACATTTGTAATTAATGCCCTCCATGCACTACTACCACATCGAAGTTCTGATTTCGGAGGATTTATTACAGATAAACAGCTAAATATGAATAAAATGTTACAATTAATGTTGTATAATAATTAATTAGAATAAATTTAAGGCATACCGATCAGCTTTTTTTTCAGCAAAATCACTTTTGATCTTGTCAAAGACAGTTGTTCGAGGCAATAATTTATTATGTTTTCTCAGATCATAAGTTTCAACTACGACTATTACCCAATCGATAATATTGTGCTTGTTCATTTCATTCATCCATTTATCAATTTCATCTCTTAATAATGATTTATATACCTCCATATCCTAAAAATATAAAAACATGGTTTATATTAAGACAGAAAAACAAATAACATGAAATAAACAGTAGTCAAGTAAAGCATTAATAAAATATAGGTAGGTGTGTATAATTATAAAAAAAAAAAAATGTTTAAATTTAAATTATTCGACAAATTGTATAAAGTAATATGAGAATTACTGACCAAACACTGGGTCCAAAATGTATGCATTATTGGACGACCAACCAGATTACGACTACTGATTTGTTCAGCCACAGTGTCCTTGTTGAAAGGAACAAATTCCGTGGACAAGGTGACCATTTTCATGGGTCTGCCGTACTGGCGCCTCCATTCGATCGGTTCCTGGCTTAGTGACTGGCTGAGCACAAGTTTTAAATTTTCAAATAGCTCCTTGTCACCGGCATCTAAAACAAATACAATGTTCACATCGGCCCGTTGAAGGTAGAATACGAAACATTCCCAAATCTAAACAACAATATAAAGTAACTTGCATGTAATGAGAGGTTTGTGATCGGATATCCGGAGTGCATCATCGCCTTTTGGATTTGCTGTGGTCATTATTCTTCAGCAACACAATTCGCGTACAGCATATTATCACCAAAGTGTGATGTGCCAGTTCGAATACCGGAATACCAACGCGTGCCAACAATGAACCACGCTAAGCAGGTGTTTCTGCCGTCGCGGCTGCGAGCAGTACATTGACGTGTAAGATAAATAGGCCGAAAACACGCAGCGATCAATTAATTACATTCGACACGACAACTAGCCAATTTGGTCGATTTGTATTTTTTAAATTTTCCGGACATTATCATAGCACCTACATAGATATCTATATTTTTATCAGTAGCCAGATTGCGTTTTGTATCCTTATCAATTAGAATAGTAACATATTATTATTATTATTATTATTATTATATTATTCGTAGATAATATAGAATTACTGTCAGAGTCAGACATCAGTACTACTAGTACAAGTGGCGGATTTTAGATTTTTTTTTTTATGGTGGGTGCTATTTTGTTAATAATAATCCTTAAGTACTTATAATGTATAATTTGGGGGGAAAAAAATTAATAAATTGGTACTTAAACAGTGAGGAAACCCAGTCTTATATCGTGCATGTACTTTGAATTTATCACATAATTAAGCTATACAAAAATTGTAAACAACTAACATTTATTATTTTTTAATAATTAGGTACCAATACAATGAAATATAATGTAATTTTTTGTTCTGGTAGCCCGTACCAAAAATTCGTCACTCGGTGAATTATTAGTAATTTGTATTTCTATGAATAAAATGCTAGCACTGGTATTTTATACTATTTTATTCATTTTATCTTTGTAGTTTACAATCCCTATCATCAATAAAACTATTAATTAAAGGTAATCAGAATCTACTCGATCCACATTTCATCTCATTCTAATTTCTAGCGTAGATATATTGGCATGTTTAAAAAAGATTATGTACTTGAAACAGTAAATAATTCTAAGAATTGTATAAACTCGGAAACTGGTGCTAATATCTACACAAAAAAAATGAAACTCTAGAGGCCTCTCAGATTGGAAATTGTTAAAAAAATGTGTGGTATAAATGAAAATATATTAGAGAGGTACTTAGTCAAATATTGGTAGTGGGGCTTAAATAAAAGTAGTAATATTTTTAATTTGTCCTTAAAAGATATATGAAATTATGTTTTGTGGATAATACATCACGACTTTTTTTTTATTCCCAAAATACATGCATATTTTTTTTTTATAAATAAATTGTAAATAGGCCGCATAGGTACTGTAATTTCTACTACGGTAAACCACGTTCATCAGGAGATAGCTTATTATATTACATAGTATATGCATAATTTCGCGAAGACTAACTAATAGACACAAGACAATAGTAGATTGTAGGTATAAACATTATTTTAAGTAAGACTTTTACAAAATATCCACCTTTGTTAATTGCAAAATAGGTACGCATAAACACTTCAAAGTTTTTGTTAATAAATTTTAATTTCCAGCAGACAGTTAGTAATCATAAGTATCTCGTACACATGATAATTTAATTGGTACCTAACACTTTTATCAATCCCTGCCCAACATCTATAAATATGACGGTTAACAATAGATACAACTAGACTTATAATATTAAGGGCGCTAAAATTATTAGCAAACGTAAAATATAGCCAACCAATTATCATTAACCATGAAATGAATTAATATTTAATCCACATAAGATAAAGGCAAGCATAAATTAATGTTTAATAGTTATGTGATATAGGTAGGTATTCTGGTATTCATGTTTTAAAACACCCAGAAAAACTATTACCTATACATGGAGTTGTAATAAAAATAATTTTTTTAAATAATTTATTTATTATTCATCAATCATCATACTACAATATTTAAAACTAATCAAACACCAAAAGTTACATAAAAGCATATGAGCACCTTGCTGAAAAAGTAAAAATTAAAATTCCAAAATTATATAAATAAAACAACAAAATGTTCTAGAATCAGTAGAATTAATACATTTCAGGTCTAATTTGCTCATGTATCGCAATTAAATACCTAACTATATAAAAAAGTTATTTAAATATTCAACTAACTTGATTTACATAAAATATATTATGTTATTCTTATTTTTTTCACTTTAATGTGAAATTTAATGAAAAAAATGTATTTTATTAATTATAATACTTTCATGTAATAGTTTTGGTTTATAAATTCTGTAAAAAAGTATGCGTATGCTTAACCGGGATAACTAACCAGACGTTAGTTAGATTATCGATCTAAATTTGTAATTAGAATATTTGAACTCGTGTGCTATAAAATAAATGTAATAGCAAATCATACTATTTTCATACCAATTTGTAATCATTTTCTTTAATTTATTCTGTGAATTTATTCAGGCCCTAGGGCAGTGGTTCCGAAATTTTTTTTCCATCGCGGCGCATTATTATTAGATATTATTATAAGTCATGATACACTTTGGATAAATATTAACTACCTACTTTCCAAATATAAATTATTTATATATATATATGTACATAAAATTCAACTTTTCGCGGCACCGCACCTTTCAAGTTTCACGGTACACCAGTGTGCGCGGCACTGTACCTTTCAAATTTCATGGCACACTGGTGTGCCGTGGTACTGCACTTTCAATTTACGGCAAACCAGTGTGCCACTACTGCCACTGCACTGCACTTTTCAAATTTCATGGCACACTGGTGTGTCGTGGAATTGCACTTAATGCACTTTCAATTTACGGCACACCAGTGTGCCACGGCACTGCACTTTTCAAATCTTACGGCACACCCTTTGGGAAACACAAATTTATTACATCATAGTCCATACGGTTCACATCAAATATCTTCTTGAAAAATCTTTATACTTAAAATTTTTTAAACTTCATTTAATATGAGTACAAAATGTTTACATATTGATCGCGGTTATTGGTAAATACACGAATATTAAACAATTCTCCAGGGTTCATAGGTAAATGGTAATGTTATCATACGCGTATTTATTATCAGCTGCCAAACGACGTGATTAATTCATAGGTACTACCTCTATATTTTGTGTATAAACGGTCGGTTGGATCAAAGTAGAGATTTTTTTTTTGTTATTTAGCAGATTATAATGCTTAACTAGTTGTTTACGGTTACTTTAGTTACTATACTTGATTACAAGGTGAAGCAATTGAATATTTTCAACCAATTGACATATTATGATAACGTATTAACGACATGGCTTAGATGATAACATCCGTGGTTCATCAGTATGAAACCATTTATGGAGGTACGGTATTGAGATTACCGAGTTCGATGACGATGACAATGCATAAATGCATAAAGCCTTGCATCTGCACGGACTGCACCGAATGCACCGTCTGCACCTGGTGGCTGATTTTTATTGAGTATTGATGTTATGTCGTTTGTATCCTTAGGAAGTTAAGTCTCCGCTGCCTTCGGTCCTACCTACTTGACGACCGTTTAGCGACAACAGAATTAGAACGGCTGAGAGATGAGTTCGGAACAGTCGTCGAGTTTGGTAATCCCTCAGAGGTCCGATTGCATGTACACAGCATGCTACTGGTATGTATCTCCGTATAATACACGCGTATACTATGTTCGTAATGGCCGACGGCTGATCACTATTCCGGTTGCTTATGCAACGTGAACTGACCTTCGTATGTTTTAACAATCCGAATCGATCGTTTTTAAAAATTTTTTAGTTTGTTTTTCAATATTTAACTGTTAAGAAGACTTTTTGTCTGCCATTTGTTGTCTCCGTCTTACAAATGCGTAACATGGCTAATGAATTTTCAGTAGGTAATTTTTAGCTCGTTAATTTTAATCTTGGAGGGAATTCTATTATCAAACAACATGGCTTGTGGTTTGTTGGAGGTGTTTTTTCGATACCTATTTTAATTTTAAATTTTAGGCAAATTATGATAATTTAAAATATTTTAACATGTTATACATTTATTATCTACTATAAAATTTAAAAAAAATCACCTATAAAAAACATTAAACAATATTGTTTACCCCTTTTGGATTGGTAATAAATCAATCACTCTGTTATTAAAACTAATGAAGCAAAATATGTACTACCTAATGCAAGTTTACTATATTATGTACTTGTAAGATAAAGGCGAGAGATTTCCTTTTAATTATGTTTTTGATGTTTATGTGATCACTGCAAAAATTATTTGAATTTAATCGATCAGTGCCATTGTTCTACATACTAAATTAAAGTTTTTTTATTATTATTTTTTGCAGCGAAGAAAATATTTGGCAATTAGCTAAACTGATACTAGAAACAAACAAATCCACGCCAGGCATGAAATGTTACGTGATTTTTGTCTCCAACTATAATAAATGCGTACACTTGTGGAATCAAAACAGCAGCCATAACGAGGGACTTGTGTTTTGGGTATAAAAATTATGAAATTATTATAGTTTATTATTATAAAATATAATTAATATCTTCTTTTTTTTTTTTTTTGAATAATGGATGATTAGGATTACCATGTGTTTTTGATTGTTCAGCATCTTGATAAAACTTTGGTTTTTGATATGGACACTAGATTGCCATTCCCTGTTCCTTTTGCACAATACGCTAAGGAAGCTATTAGAGAGGAATTTAAGGAATCTCATTCCAAGCGGTATATTTAATTTAATAAAAGTGTTTTGATATAAATTATAATTATTATTTTTACATTTAGCTACTTTAAAGTTGTTGATGGTGATGTTTTTGTGTCTCAATTTTCATCTGACAGAAACCACATGATTGAAGATGATCGTTGGATGTCACCACCGCCTCCATATCCTCCAATTTTGAACAAAGGTATATAGTAATCTTTTTTTACCACTATTGTTTTATTTATTTATTTATTTATTTATTATTGTTTGAATTAGAAATTAAAAACATAAGAAAACAATTTATGTAAATGGGATTATCCATTTAACATAAGACTTATACAATGAGTGTAATCCTATATATTATTAGCAGCTAAAAATAAAATTTTTCATTTTAGTAGTTTATAGAATTGAATAGTGTGGAATAAATTGTATCTAATGTGCAAACGCTAACTTTTGTAATGACTATTTTAAAATAAATATTTAAATTTAAAATCTAGATTCAGTTTATAATAAGTTATTCTTAAACACGTTTACTGAAATTCATGTTTTTATTGGTATATTTGTTTTTATAGAAATTAAAATAATAGATTTAAAAAAAAAAATTCTTAAATATTTAAAAATAAAAATTTGTTATATGAATTGAATACGTATGAAAATGAATAACTTAATAATTGTAGCACTGACCAAATTATAGCGCATCAAATGACAAGGTAAACTTTAAACATCAATAATAATTTAATATTTGATATACTACTAATTATTTATCTATATTAATTAGTATTTATATTATAAATGAGATAAAAATCAATTAATTTTGATAAAAGGATCAAGATTATTATTTTAAGTTAAATACACTACAAAAAAGTTCTTTTAAAATTCATTAGCTATTATACAAATAATTAAAACATATTGTACTTGCATGATTTTGAATTTAACTATAACATAATTTAATTTTTGTGTCTTGTTCGTTTCAGAAAAAGTTCATAATTTGGATAATTTCATATCAATGGATCCGTCTAACGAGTTTGGACCAGTACTGAATCTTGAGGAATTTAAAGCTAGATTTTCTTAATTATGCTTATTATGTAATGTGCCGTTTAATTGATGAATCTCATTTTATTCATATTTTAAGTATTATACTATAATTATTGGATTTTCCTTTCAAGTTTAATTGAAAATTTGCTTTTATTCTATAAAATTATATTTTAAGTTTTAACAATATCAAGATAGGTTATTTTTAGGGTAATTTTAAATTGAGATTCATATTTGTCTTTAAGATTTTGAGATTAAATTGTACATCATAATTAAATATATTGTGTTCTTTTTATTGTAATTATTACGTTTGTAACCTTATAAAATTAGAAATGCTTGATAATCAAATGTCAATCAATCTGCAAGACTATGAGAACCACGTGTCTCAGAAGTTTGGATGCTATCAGCAAACTGTACTAAAACTTAATCTGTGGCTGGTATATTCACGATTAATTCACAGTGTCATCACTAACCTATTTTTAAAACAATATAATTTTTAAAGTTAAACAGCTACTTAAGCATTCTAATATAATAAAACAATAAATGAATAAAATTTTATTTAAATTATTTGATTTGTGAAAAATCCAACATGTTGGTTTTATTAATTTTATATCAAAATTTAGTATTTGCCAGAAATAATATAAAGTTTTAATACTTTCTATTTAACTAATGGTTTTTTTTGTCTCACAATTTTTGGCAAATGCAATTATATTCTTATAGAACATGTTTATTTTTCACATCAAATTGTGTACAGAATTTATAACTAAGTCTAAAAGAACTTTTTTACACAAATCCAATAAAACTAACTGTATAAATATTACATATCAATAGAACCATGAAGTTAGTAAATTATATCTAAGTTAATTTATTTAAATTTCATTCTTAAATACTTTATAAATTATTTGTATTTTAATTGTTTATATTATATTATTATTAATAAATTATGTGGCTATCTATTAGTCTAAAAGATTAATAACTATGATGCACCGATATTATTGATTAACTAAATGTATCCAAAGTAATGCATTTTTATATTTTTCTAAGAGCTAAAAGATATTAAATATCCAGCATAAATAAAAAGTGTCAAGTGTTTTTACTCTGGTTTTTACCTAATAATGTTACAATACCATAAATTATATTAAACCTTTTTCTCATATTGTTTATCATAGAAAAATATTCACACATTTTTATGACCAATATTTAGCCATTTAATTAATCCTCCCCGACTGTTTTTTTTTTGCAATGTCAAAACTTGTAACTTCTAAAGTCGAATTTTTAAGACATAATTTAGGTATTTTTTAGTATAAATAATTGATTTTAAAAAAACAATGGTGTAAATTATGACATGTTTTTATATTTTGTTCATACATGATGTACCTATCTATTGGACTTATTGGAGCCTGGAGGAAATAATACTCATGCCTAGAGTTGAAAGTTAACATGTCTGTAAAATACCTATACATTTATAATTTTAATACATTTTGAACTCATAATTTAGTGTTCACTTTTTAATTGTTCGGATAACAAACATAATTGCTTAAAAATGTGTATCAGTATCACAGTACCTGATCCTATTTTTGCGGTGATAAAAGTGTGCGTTTAAAACGAGACTTGCCAAACTTAATATTCCAAAACCGTAGACGTACCTATGCCAAACCACAGAATATTATAACTATACTATACTTTCCCCTCTAATCTGTTTGAAAAACAAGGAACTGAAGGAACGGATGGGAAAAACTATACTTATCTACTGCAATAATAATACATATAGATTGAATTGAACGTGATAATAAATATGATTCGGCAGAAACGGATAGATGTCACTGTGGGTATAGTGTACTTATAAATTAATAAGAAATATTAGATACCTATGTGGATAGTGTAAAGTGTTTACCTGTACGATATTTTGTTAACGTTTTAATTCGTATTATATCAAGGTTTTCATATAATAATAATTTTTTATGCAACATGATTTTTTTAAGTTATTCTTACTTGTCGTACCTATGTTTCAATAGTTAAATTGAGCATCAATTTAATTACTTTTTTTTTAATTTTGTGAATATTCACTAAAAATCATCTGATAATACGTCATTATAAGGTTACCTAGTTGTTGGTAAAACAGGACCGCTGTTTAAAATGTTGTGAGAGGGAGGTGATAAAGTTAAAGTATTTTCCGACTGAGGTTTAATTTATCCAGACTGAAAGAATTCTGATTCATAAATTTTGTAATGTTAACTATAGAAATTGATGTTTTTTTTCTGTCCAGTAGTTAGATAAAGTGAATGCAAATATTTGAAAAAAATAATAGAACTTAAACATTTTGAACTATTCTAGACTTAGAAGATATTTTTTAGGTATTTGTATATCGTATTGAACCGTCAGGACATTCAGGATAATTTTAAGTTTTAAGAAAAATAATTCGTATTCAAAATTCAAATCTATCAATCCGTGTATGTTTGCAATCACTTAAGAAATTAAGTAAATAATTGGTAAATATATTTTTTTTAATTTAGCAGTACAATACTTATTGTCCACGGATAGTGATGAGATATAACATCACATCGCGACGGTACATAAAAAATAGCTTATTGATCGATGCGTGTTGATGTCGCTGCAGGAAATTGGTTTGTTGACGTATACTCGTATATACAGACATATAGAGGTATCTATGCGACTATGCTGTACACCGCATTGAGTTTTGTTAGAAATATTCATTTAGTTTTGTAATCCAAGAGATAATAATAATTTTTTACCTGCGCAAAAGACATTATATATAATCGGCTATGGCAGATTTGAAATTTTCCGAAAATCTTTTATAGGCATAGTCATATACGATGACCGACGTGTATACCTAAAACCGTACCGATATAATGAACATCACGTATCTATTAGTTCCTATGTCTGGGTCGAATTAGCCGTAATCAAAGGAGGAAATAAAATTTAATTTTAGAGGGATGTAATATATTTAAATATTTGACTGTACTGCAGCACTACAATATAAGCCGCTCGATGCGTTCGTAAAGTCCACATTCTTCGTGTCTATACACCGTAACAAAATCTGTGCACGAATATTGTCTTACTCGAAGGTCTAGACACTAATAATTAGAATTTAATTGCGTGCTGTATTGATTCAAACTTCAAAATGCACACATCAAACAAAGACGATTGTGTTCTAATAGTTGATCATAACCTGCACTCTTCAAAATCTTAATACAATTTTAAACGTCTCACAGAGGAGTAGGCACATATAGTAGGTACCTATACGATGAATTATATTATTATTATGCGCGGCTCGCTACCGGGAAATACGGAAACGATAGCGGGCCGGTCACCGAGTGTACGACGAGGACTGGGCGTCGTTCGAAAATTCAAACCGACGTTCAGCACCAAAACTATACGTATTTATATACAGGTAATATCAGCTGGTACCGGAACAGCGCAATAGCAGGGTGTAGGTGTGTACGCCGTCCAACGTTTTTATTGTACATATACGAAACAGTTCACCCATACGCACCCGATGACGACCGGCGAGGTCGGTCACGGCGACATCGACGTAGGTACCTACCTGTCGTTTGAACTCGTCGGTTTCTATAGAAACTCTGCCTGCAGCACTCGTCGTGAGCCACACGGTGACGCACCCACGCGCCGCCGAACCGAAAAGTTCACGTTGACGCCGTACTGTACAATAGAGTCCTTGTACCTGCAGGATATCGCAGCGTCTTTTATGCGGACCGACATAAAACCGTCACGAAGTCCGGGCAAAACAATGGGTTTTTAAACGGCATCGATCGTTATTACTATACGTATAATACGCATAACTAGTGCGCGCTGTCAATCAGATCGCAATAAAAGCGCGCGGAGCGACGGCGGCCGTCAAGTATATAATATTAATATATCTAATTTATAATTGGATGTGATCGCTACCGTGTCCCACGCGACACACCGTCGCATGTAGTCTTTTAATCGAACACCCCCCTCGCGGTGCGGTTGTATACACCGCCACTAGTCGTAGCGTAGTCATATCTTATTCGTGTTTATAGTCTACACCCGCGAGATGTACATATTATAATATAAAGGTATCGGCCGTGCGAATGACCACCGTCGTGGTACGAATATGTAAAACGTATAAAAATTATTATACTTAATCGATAGTCGCTGTGACTACAATGTATGCGATTCGTACAGTACCTACCTGTACAGTGTACACGTTTAAAAACGGTTTATACGCGTATAATATTATATTACAGCAGTGGTCGTTTGTTGGAAACCATGATGTATTTTTATAATATACGTAAACTACGTTTCTAAAACGTAGAACCACTCGTTGTTTGTCTAAATCGTGTAACAAACATATACGTATTATATATAAAATAAAACGTTTATACGATTTTTGACTTTTCGTCGGTGTACGTTATTCGAGGTCCATCAGCCCTATCGCAGGATAGTTCTCCTCCGTGTCTGTTTTTTTTTTTTTTTACTAAGCCAGTAAGTATAGTCGATCAATTTACTTCGTCATTAGTCTTCATGAAGTGGTGCGATGTGTATCTAGACTAGTATAGTGATTAGTAGCACTGCGGTATATAAACGATTAGAATAGGAATGGAGTGCCTTAGGTTTTACAAATGGTACACACGTTGTGATTGAAATAATGCTATTAAAAAAAAAAAAAAAGAAGAAAACCGTCTGCTAAAACAAATTAAAATACAAATAGAAAACACGTTTTGGAATGAAGTAGATACAAGGTGATACTTTTAAATGTAAACTCACATTTTATCGAAAAATATTAACGTTTTTTGAAATATTTTTTTTTAGATAATTTAAAAACGTTAAAAAAGAATTTATCGTTATTAATTTTTGGTACGTTGTAAAGTGATAGTTCCACCGTTTCGCTTGTCTAAACTTTAAAATATACTATTATAATTTATAACTAAAAAACTAATTATTAACTATACTCGTTTGAACTTTAACTTTTATACATATTATATTGAATTTTTTAAAAGTTTTTTGTTTAGGAATTTAAAATTAAAATGTTTAAAAGTTAGATTACCTTTAATAATAGGTAATATTATAAAGAATTTTGTTATAAGACTATATGTCCAATAAAAATAATATAAATATATATTTATAAGTCTGTGGTTAGTCCCCGTCAACCATTGTCTTTAAATGAATAAAATATGGTTTCGAAGAATTATTATTGTATACTTAGTGTCACAATGATTATAATTTATATTATTTTTTTTATTTACTTTTATATCGATTTAAAATTTAATTTTAAATTATTGCTATTTACGTGTTTCTTGAAAATGTAAGATAATATTGTATTTAACATGGTAGTATTTTGATAATATTTTAATCGATGAATTATTAATATCTGTCAAATATAAAATTATATATTTGTCATAAAAGTTTTAATATCTAGACAGGTTATGACAAAGTTATGCGTATATATAATTTGACAGGTATGCGAAGGACGACGATAAAATAACATGGACACCCTATACAGTTCAACACAACGTAATAGTATAATATAATGTGGAAAATAAGTATGTATATAATTATTAATTACCTAAATAACAATTATTATACAAAGCATTCATTCATTTACATTCACATTATTTACAACGCAATTATTCAATTAATATAAAGACTATTGATGAAACATCATAATAGGTATTCCCAAAATACTTCTCTTGTACTACACATCGAATTTAAACTTCGGATATATGATATAATAAAACAGGTATATTTACAAGTATAATTTTTATTTTATATTTTATATTGTAACTACCAGTTTTACTAAAATTAATATATATAATATATATGTATAAGACTCTGGCGCCATGTCGATGTCGAGTACCTATATATAACACATATATATAGTGTAGGAATTGCGTTTAAATTGGTTTCTCAATGATGCCTTAGGTAATCGGTGGGTCAAAAAATTTGTATAGGATCAATAACTCTAATGGCAGGCTGTCAGATTTTTGAAGAGTTGTTCTTCACATTATGTATGGGTATATCGCAGTTGAAGTCGCTCTTTCAAGGGATATGTTACATTTATTATTATTATTATTATTTCGTGATCAAAAACGTTTGTATTCATTGTTAGACTCAATTTCAAGGTATTATTACGAGCTAACCTATTATTGGCGGTGTTTTTAAAAATATTTATTGGATCAAAGTAAAAAATATAATAAACCGCGTCTGCAATATTCATTTCGTAATAGTATTATTTTTTATTTTTTAAATTGGTTCAGGTTTTTCAAATAATAGTAACACTGAGAATTTTTACAGAAATTTTTAATAAAAATTATAATAATACATTAATTAAGTGCGATTAACAAAATTTTCTATTTAAATAATAAAAATAAAAATGTTTAGTGAAAAAGTAACAATATTAATAAATATTCAAACTTTGATTTCGTTTGGCTACGAACAGTTAATAATAAGTTGTATAAATATTATTATAACACAACTTATTAGCAATGAACAAATCTGATATTAAATTTCGGAAATTATTTTTCAATAATAAAGGTGAAAGTGGTAAAAGAAATTATTAATAACGCTTAAAACTTCGTACACGATTATGTAGATAAAAATCAGGTAAAATCATATATACGCAATCATGTAGCTTAAAAAGGTATCACCGATAACGAATGTACGCAATCGTGTTGTACCCAAGAAATTTACTCTTAGAAATTTTTATATTTATGTGATTAAAAAAATTACTTGTTGATATAGTGACGTGTAGGGTCATTACACATATTTTCAATAATCGTTAAGCACTTAATTTGTGTATCTATATAACTATTTTTTTGATTTTATTGATAGTTATATATATATATAAGTAATGTCTCTACTTATGAAATACACTTTAAGTCAACTATACTATTGATAACTTTTTGAAATTTTTATAATTATGAGAAGTTATTTTTATTGAAAAAAAATTAAAAATAATAATAATAATAATTTAAGATCTGTCATTATAATCAAATTATGTACCTTTTTATGATTAATAATTTAAAATTTCTTTTCAATATTTTGGAACCTATTTTAATAGTACTTTTAATTCCTTTATCTTGTATTTATTTTTAATTTACCTCAAGGTTAAAAGGAAAATATAATAATCAAAGACTGTTAATTAATAAAATATTTGATAAAATTATAAAGTATACATTATGAAAGTCCATGAATTAAATACGCGTAATAATAAAATGTACCAAGGAAAAGTTTAAAAAAAAAAAAAAAAATGTTATTGATATTATGTAATTTGCGAGTTATATTTAGTTAAATTATTATTATTAATACGAAATAGGTAAATATTAAAGTACAGATAATAAAAATTAGTCATTTCAATGTCATTTTAAGTATTTGATAAATATACACAAAGTATATGACTCAATTATGAATTCATCACGTGATTAAACGAATGTTATTTAAAACTTAAATACATGAATAATAAATTATATATTAAAGGATACAAGTTCTATGAATGTACAGTTTTTTGGTATTAAAGCAAATTTTAAGCTCTGAATGTAGTTTTTTGAAATTTGCTTACGAATCGTACACATTTGTATTGGTATAGTAGACGGTATAAAATTATTCCAATTAATATTATTTTCACTTTCCCATCCAAAATCACATTCACATAAATCGGTAATGCTGTTTAGATATCCATTGTGACAACGGATTATCTAAAAAATTATTAGAAAATATTTAGGTTTATTGAATTTTAAGTATTTAAATTAGTTTTGTAAACAAAAATACTTTTTAAATTATTATATATTTTAAGTAATTCATACTTGGATAGAATGAATTTCGTCAAATGTTCGGAATTGTTCGTCACTTTTATTGTTTTCTATCCTAGATAATACTTCTTGAATATCTTTTTGTGTAATGATATGATTTAGATCTGCACATTGGTTGTTGAGCCAAATATAGGCCTATAAATGCTTTTTAAATTAGCTTATATATTCATTATTTTTAAAATTAATTAAATAAAATATATTTTTACTCAATTACTTGAAATTAGAAAAGTATTTACGTAATTAAATATATTTATATAAGTTTAAGAATTTATATAGGACTAAAAAATGCACTAAAAAATTAACAAATGTGTATTATAAAAGTTGAGAAAAAATATTTTCAACCAAATAATTTAAAATTACATTTTATATTTATTAGTATGAAATTTTTTTCTTTTTTTTTATATAATTACATATTAATTCTATATTAATGTCATAATTGTTACCCAATCCTTTAAAAAAATAAAATCGTTAGTCAGTATAAATGGAGATTGTATTATCATATTATCATGATATAATTTCATCGGTGACTGCAGTCAGTAAAATATAGGCATTTTATTTTTAATTATACATTTTAATAAAAACTAAATTATTATTTATTTATTTATTTTTTTTTGAAGAATAATTAAAGAAAACACTAAAAAGTTTGATAATGATGCGTAATAACTAAAATAAGCACTATTAAGTAAAATCCTTAAATCAAGCGTAGAGAAAATAAACACGTAGGTACAACATATTTTAAACTTACTCATTCTTTATGTTGATAAAAGAAATGCTTTTCACTGTGTAGGCTATTTATTCAACTAACCTTTGCCAAAATAAAAAAAACCATGTAAATGCTTAAAGTCCATAAGATTATAAGTTATAACTATATTATGCGAATATAAAATTAGCTGTAAAAACAAAATTACATAATACCTACACATAATCAAAAAAATGAAAAAATATCGATTACAGCTAAAGGCATTCCTATTATGTGATATATATATATATATATATATATACATAGGTATATTCCATTTAATATAAGAATAATATAAATTAAAACAATAAAATCTTATAAAATGAAAAATAAGTAACTTATTAATAAATTAATAAATAAACAATTTATTTACTTGATCCTTATTATTTTTCGATTGACATGTCGGAATTTTTACACACTTTTGTCTTGATGTACTAAAAAATCCTCGATATCCAGAATATTTCATATGACAATTTACAGGATTACAATAATCTAAACGATCCTCGTCAGGGAATTCACATTTTATGCCTAAACGATTTGATATAATATTAAAAATATTAGTTCATACTACAATTTCATCGATAATATATAAATAATATATTAAACTAATACATTATAAAAATATAAAGTGAAACTGTGCTAAGTACAGTTTATAGTTGTAAGTAAATTTGTTATTTTTTTTTCTTTTATTATTAAGTACTGGAAAAAATAAATTACCTATTATATCTGTATGTTATGGTTTAGTGTGTTTATAACAATATTATATAATTTTAATTTTCCATATTTAAAAAAAATCATATTATATATTAGATAAATATATATACTTATCAGTGAAGTCAATCAGCTAGATTATTTAACTCAATTGGATAGTTTATAATGAAATTCAACAGATCGCGTGATCACAATAACAAAGTGACAAATGTAATTATTATTATACGATCGGGGAAAATTTCAGACTCAACGTTTGTAAACTTAATTCTATAGGTACATCTATAGATTTTACTATAGTATTACTGTAATCAGTCTAACCTTATTATTATTATTGATATTTGTCGATTAAATTGGATACGGTATGTATTTCAAGACGTCAATCACCTGCGTATTACAATTTACAAAATAACCGTATATAACAATAATTATATAGCTGAAATATATTTTATAGTTTAATTTCAAAAAAAGTTGAATTAGCTAGAGGGGAAAAATGTATTCCTGCTTAAATTAAAACCCCTGTCACAAGCACTACACGGTTTAGACCAGGTAGATGTTTATATTTAAAAAACTAAAACGCCACACGTTATAGTTTACATGGATATGAATTAGTAATTTGTTGGCAGTAGGCACATATAATAATGTTTAAAAAATATATGTATATTTAATATTTATGCGTTTTTGTGTTATTATTATCTAAACTTTATTACTTAATCCAACAACTAATTTTCATTAAAATGTTTTTGTCATTTACAAAAAAAACTTTATTACATAATTTTAAATATACGTTTTTGTGTTGTAGGTACGTTTTGGAAAATATTTTATATATGCCATACACAGTGCGATTATTATAGGTATTCAAAAATAATATACAATAATTGGTTGATGAATATTCAAATTAAGTATCTACTTTAAACTAAATTAAATTTTTTGATATATAAGACGTAAGTGACGTAGTGTAAAAACGTGATTATTTTTGGTTGAAATAAATTAATAACAATGAACACTATACCTGTAGTTAATTTGCTTATCATAACATTTTTTGGAGTATGATGTTTATATATATTTATATATTTATATGTATACATTTGAGTTACTCCGTAGTCAACTAGAAAATACCTTGTGTTACTGTTGTATCAAAATAAATCTTTTGAATGACTGTAGATTCGACGTGTTCATTTCTGTTGTATATTATATTGACACGAACATCACATTCGCCACGACGATTATATGAATACTACCAAAAAATGGATATAATTATTAAAGAAAAAAAATATGTTTCGTTAGACATAATGTATAAGATTTTTGCATCAATTAATAAAATACTATTAATATACGATAAGTTGTTATTATTATTTTTTAACTATTATATAATATTATCAATATAAGTATAGGTACCATGAATCGTAGTGGTGTATTATCTCATTAAACACTAGATTAATATTTTGTTACAGAATAAAATAATTGTATTAATATTCAAATAATTTATGAAATCCTGTAGAAAGATAGGTAGGAAATATAAAAATATTATGCATGATATACTTCATAATCAGTTTATGTAGTTGATAAAAGTTTGTTTGGTAGAAATGTAAAATTTACTTAGTTTATTAGCATATATCATATATTTATGCTCTATATTATGTATATACGATTTTGGTTGATAAACGAACTAAACGGTAAAGTGTGAATCATGTTTAATATGATCATTAACAATATAAAATATACACCAAATTAGATTCGTGACTACTATAGAAATACCTATAATTATTCAATGATTAAATCGAATTTTCCTTGTATATGTTAACACGCTAATAAAATAATAAAATGGTTAAAATCAATAGAATTACAAATTGTTTCTTATTGTATTTTTATCTTTAATTGTTCAAACAATTAGTATTAGTTATTAATAGTTAAAGCTTAGGTACCTACAACTAATTATAACTAATATTTGAGTATTGCTGAAGGGTATAAATTTAATTATGTAAATTATTCGTAAAATAATTAGGTAATTAATACATTCCAAAATGTAATATTTCTAGCATACAATTCGGTTCTTGGAAAAATCACTTATTAGTTATTAGTGTATAATTATGGTCTACGGGCCGCATTGAGTACAGTCATGGATCAAATTTTGACCACTCACTACTAGTATAGTGATATAAATTAACAAATCAATACAATTGTAATTAATAATTAAGATTTAATTTTTAAAAAGTTTAAATATAATATCATGTGTGTGTATAATATGTATAATTTATCTAATTGCGAGGCTACATACTTATACTAAGTTGGTATTTACATTTTACAGCAGTAATATGAAGGGAAATTCCCGGGAGGTTTTTTTTACTAGTTGCCAATGGTAACGTTATAAACTACAATAAAAATAAGGCATTAACCATTGGAGTGTGTCATAAATATACCTAGGTAGTAGGTACACATACAAAATTACTGGGGGAGATATTAGATAAGTCTAATTTAAACATTTTTATTTTATAACTATACGTTTTACAATTTCAACTTGACTACTAATGCAAATATCAAATAAAATAAACAGTATAATATTTAGTTTTATCTATAATTATATGCATAGTGTTATGTATAAATGATAAATTACATTGTAGCAATTCGCAGTTTCTTTTAACTTATTAAAACAAAGTTTTTTTTATTTAAAAAAATTAAAAATGTAGCAGTTTTTTTGTATACTATACCAATTAAAAATATACTATGATGTATCATGTAATAATACAATATAAATATAATATTAATGCAATGAAATATGTTAAACTAAAAATATGTACTCAATTTAACAATATATAATATTATTATTGGAAAAATAATAAAAATAAACAAACATGATTTTTATATCACAATATATATATATTTTTATTTCTATTATATCTGAGTGGTATACTACATTTAATTATATGTTCATATCTTTATTTCGTATGCATCATAAGATATATTATGCAATAATAAATAATTTAACATATATTATATATATATAAATTTAAAACGTTCAAATGGAAATTTAATTGAACAAAATAATAACTATTAATGATTAATATATATCATACTTATATAAACAATAAATTAATATAATGAATATACCTAACAATTTTTTAGCAATAATTAAGTAAATTTATTTTTGTAGCTAAAAATATTTATATGGCTATATACAATGTATATTATACATAATACGAATTAAAATTGTTAATAATATTGAGCTAAAACACGAAATGCTAAAAAATTAATTTTAATCCATTCAATATAGAATAAGTAAAAACTTAAATAGGAACGAGATACATATTATAATTATCTTACACTTTATAGTCTATAGATGTAGCTATAAATACTTTGTGATTATTATGATCTAATTTCATTATGGATACAAAAATAGATAAAATGGATAATTTTTTTTAAGGAATATTGTAAATTGCGATAGGATAAAAAATATTCAGAAAGTTGCTTTGTAATATAAATGATTGCTATATAGTAAGTATATCGAGCCTACATCTTCATTTATAAGTTTATAAGTAGGTAATTATTCATTTGTATTATAACTAATTTTTTTTTTAAAGTACTATAAGATAGGTAAATTGAACTAATTTTTTCCAACAGCATATTATACATTAAATATATTATATTATTGATTATTTTTATATGACATCAATATTATTTCTATTAACTTCCTTTAAAGAAAAACTATTATTTAACGTTTAAATATTATGCGAAAATTTCAATATTTAAATTTAAAATACTTTGAGACAATGTATAGCTATATTTTTAACTATTGTAATTTATAAGAGAAACTAACAAAGATTTAACAAAAAGAAACAAAAATGTTATTAATATAAATTTAATGAAAAAAAATGAAAAAGAAAATATATGTGTTAATGAATGTTAAAAATTATATCGTGTGTAGAAAATACAAATAAAAAAAATATTTAGTAAAAATAGTTCCTATGTATGAATTATAACCAAAATACAAAATATTTTCGTTTTTCCGCTGTTTATTATTTTTTCCTGATTATTTAAAAAAAAATATTAAACATTTTTACCTTACTGATTTTGAATTACCAACTAGATACCGCAAAAGCTATTCCCTAAAGCGAAAGATTAAAGAATTTTTTTTTTTTTCTAAAACATGCAACGATTGACAAGGAAATAAGATAAAACACCATTTTAAAATCAATACCGACAATAGCGGTATATTCATCGTTCCGTTAAGTATCTAAAAGATCAAATGTAATAATATATAGTCAATGGATCATATACTCATATGGATAATATTTCTGCTGAATATTGTAGATGGTTTAAAGAGAAACAAACTAGTTGTAAACTTTTCCTGAGTTTCAGGTTTTTTTATTACACGTTCTTGACTGCCTATATATCGTACCTATTTGATACTATTTTAAGTGTATTTTTAATTCGAATTATATGAAAAATAAAATAATAAAAACATCTCAATATGATAATATTATTTTAATAAATTATAACAATAAGATTGTATATAAATAGTATTATTATTTAAATTATGACTTAAAATGTTTTCGGTTGCCGGTGTACGTCTTGACACTATAAAAATTAGATCTAAAGGTATATAAGCACATTATTACACACATATTTACGACAAATGAATACCAAAATAATATCAAGTAATAGAATTCTTGTATAGTTATTTAATTGCAGTGGTTTTTTATTTTATTTCTGGCAGGATATTTTACTATTCGGAGAGAATTTATTCTATTGTTAAAAATCGTTCCTTCTCAAAAACACGCGGTTTTAATCAAAAATATTTTATACGTCGGGTTAAATTATAATAATATAATGCGAACAATCATGTGAATATATTATTATTATTTTACAGAATAATGTCATCTGTCGTATAAAAACAAAAACAAAAAACGGTACACGAGCATCGTAATATTATACCTAAATTACATATATATATATATATATATTATTTATTTGTTAACGGATGAAAACATTTTCTCACCATCGGAATTCGTGATAGTATAGGTATATGTATAAGTTTTATTTTTACTTTAAGGCAAAATCTCGTTATTGTTTTACATACGAAAATTACGATGAATTAATTTTGGATTTCCGTTTGAAACTTGTAATATACGAAGTCGCTATTAAATACAATATCATACATATAAGTATGCACGATTGCGGTGGCAGCAGAAGTTAGTTATTTTTCCCACATCGATTGACTGTAAGTATGTGTATGTATGTATGTACCTATGTATATATGTATGTGCGTATGTATGTATACATTCACGTGTATATGTTTATATCTATATAATATACATAAAGCAGTACGTCCGGTTCTTTCATTATTACCTACACATTTTTTCTTATTATTTTTCCTATTCAATATATAAATTATTAACATGGCGGCCGTCAAATAATTGCTTCACGTCAATTACTACATAACCGGGTTAGGTTGTGTTGTCTCGACGTCGATATTGTTATTATCATCGTCATCGTCATCAACATCATCATCACCGCTGCAGTCGTTATTATCATTACCATCATAACGCATATAAAATGCACCCGAGGAAACAATACAACCGGTTGCTGCGGTTTCATTGGATGACGAAAGGTCACGCCCAATGAACTCTAGCCGTTTTCCAGTTTTCACGTCGTGTTAAAGACGAAATGGACAGGGCCGTATATACTGGTGGACCAGAGTAAATTGAGTTTTGTATACGCAATAAATATTAATGTTTTAGGTAAACTGCGTGCATTTTAAAAATGTTTGCACATGTTGAAGAAAAAAAATCATAAAAATAATGGCGAAAAGAAATCGTTTACGAATCTAATTGATATACCTAATATTATACCTATTGACTATTATATTAAATACGCAAACATATACCATTTTAAGGAATAAAAATAATAAATTATGTAATAGTTGTGTGTCGATTTTATCGTTCAATGCTGTAGTATCTATATTGTTATTTGTTCTTAAAAACACAAATAGATGCTGTATTAGACTATAATTGATTTAGATGCCAGCTACATTTGTTTAGAAACGATTTTCTATTATACCTATAAGTAAATTTACTATACACAATCTGTAAAATAAATAATAATATTATTAAAGATGTGACGCAATAAATACATTTCCCTCCACGTTACACGAGTAACATTGATGAAAATTGCATATACTTTAGATTTTTAATTTTTAATTGGATTAAACATTATACGATGGTATATACATTATACATAGTATATTTTACTATATAATAATTTTTATGCAAAATAATATATTTAACGTGATATAATATATATTTATCTATTATATTTTCTAGCTAAAGTTTACTTACTGCGTATATTTATATATACTATTTTTATAGATTGTATTGTAATATTTGTTACGTACTATATGAATATATATTAAAGTATTATAAAATATACGCACTAAACATTTTTCGATACGTCTGAATTTTTATTTAATATATTAAAATGACCCTTGGCAAGCGCCAACAATTCGACACTATAACTATCGACAAGAGCGAACTCAATATACTATTATTAACAGTTATCGCCCATGACAATAAAGTAGGTACTATTTTAAACATAATAATTACCATAGATTTATAAGCTATACGTTCCTTGTTATAAAATTGCATACACTGAAGTGTTCAAACCCCCAGATACGGAAAACTTATTCATAAGAAGTAGTATACCATCTCTGAAAATCTATAATATTGAAACAAGGTTCCCCGATAACGTTACAGTATAATATTTATTTATTTTGAAAATAATAAAATATTTTGAAAACAATTGATCATATTGAAAATCAAATTACAAAGTATCAGACATACATCTTATAGTAGTACAATATACATTTATGTGAATAGGTAAAAAGTTAAAGATAACATAACATAAAATAATAATTATAAAATGCTTACAATATTGTTAATAGATATACATTAAAAGAGACTATATATTATTACAAAAAAACTTATCTATATTATACTTGTTAAAATTTGTATACGTTGGAACGGCACATAAAATGTATTGAATAGCCTAGTGCAAGAACTATAAAAAATTAAATTTAACTAGTAGTTTTGAATAATTATTAACGATACCATTTAATAATATATATAAAAAATATATAAGTAGTTATATGTATTCATCATATTTAAAAAAACTTACAATATTTAGGTAATGAAGTGTTATAATTTTAGAATCTCGTGCTGCCAAATCTAAACTGCTTCCAATCAGTTGAAAATGCTGAAATAACGTTATAACATTTTAGCAAATTGCTGTAATACCCAAATACCCAAATATAACCTATAGGTAATACATAGATTAAAAAATAAATATTTAACTTATAAAACATAATAATTAACAAATAAGTAAAATTATTTTTATTATACCTATTAATAACTATTTTGTATTAATATATAATTTTTATACAATATGCATATTTTTTACTTTATTTGTTATAGCTAAAACGATAGTTATTAGCTTTCTTAAAAATAAAGTACAATTAGTTATGATTACAATTTTTATCAAATGACAGTATTTTAAATGTTCAGTAATATTAAGAAAAATGTTTATAAATATTTTTTACCATATAAATCAATAACCATCATTTATATAATTTGAATTTTTAACATAATTATTATGAATGATTAATTATTTTGGTTCTATATGTACTAATTATAATTATTAATATATTTGTAGGTAATTAAATTCAAATTATTGTTTTAAAACTAATTCAAACAAAATATTTATTTTTTTAAATATTCTTGATCTATAACCACTATTATATCGTTATAAATGTTGCTAAATATTGAAAAAAGATTTTTTATTCTATAACTACTTTTTACTGTATAACTATTGTAGTAATTACTTTTTTTAATGGTTTTCTAATACAGTTATGTCTTAGTACTGTTGTCCGTTAGTCATTTACTTATAATAATTTATTAAAACTAGTATAAGACATTCAACATATATTTTATAATTTATATACTTCTAACAATCAAATCAAAGTGAAATAGTTGCTAAATATATTATGATCGATAATTTTTAAAATAAAAATATATCATAATATATTTTAAAATTTTAGAATTTAAGTAAAGTATATTATAGTTTACAATGTACGTATCTTTTTTTTTTTAGGTAAGGAATAAATTATACTTATATAATTGATATACTGTATACAATTATATCAATAAATAATACAGGATATGAGTGGCCTATTATCTATAAAAATATATGCATAATAACTAGGGTTCGGAAGTTGATGACCCTAAAAACAATAAAAAATGACCTAAAAAAATGCAAATATGACATAAAAATGGCAAAAAATGACCTAAAAATTACAGATATTAGTTTTATATTAATAAAAACACATTAAAAAAATAAATATTTTACTATAAAATTTAAAATATGATATAAAAATGACAAAAATATCCTTAAAATAGGAAAATAAAAAAACTAAAAATATTTGTTTTATAAATTTATCAAAGCTTACAAATTATTAAAAAATCAAAATCATTGCATTATATAATTAGAGCGTATTTTATGTTATCGAAAATAAATGAACGATGATTATCTGTTAATAAATATTTATACTTGGAAAAACTTCTCTCCACGTATACTGAAGTGATTGGGGCAAGTCTGAAATGGACCAAATCATTAGCATTGAAATCATCTGGAAAACACTCACATGAAGCTTCTTCACCATTTAAAATTTTCGAAATATACTAGTGTAAAATCAGTAAAAATGACTAAAAATGTGGGAAATTACCTAAAAATGTCAAAAAATGACTTAAAAAGTAATAAACACCAAAAAATGCAAAAAAAATGCAAAATAAAAATTAGTTATTCAGATTCATATACTTATGAAACAGATTTGTGGCCAGGAGAGCATCGTCTAAAAAATTCCAAAAAAAAAAAAAAAAAATGTAAAATGCATCAACTTCCGAACCCCAAATTAATAACTAATAGCTCACACTTATTAGTTATTATGCATATATTTTTATAGATAGTAGACCACTCATATCTTGTATTATTTATTGATATAGTTGTATACAGTATATCAATTATATAAGTATAATTTATTTCTTAACTAAAAAAAATAAATATATTATGTGAGTTAGAGTGAAAAAAATTGCTATAAGGTAGAATGATTATAAGAAGTTACACATATTACTCATTATATATTGAAGTGTATAGGTACTATATATACACTATACTGATTATTGACTTTATTAAAGGCATCTTTTTTAAGTCTCTAAAAGAGATTTCCAGGAAGTCGTAAAATATTTAAATTATTAATAAAATAATTATAGACATTTTGAAGTTTAAAAAAAAATAATAATGTTGATGATCCTAAAGAATAGTTGACTAATAATTTTGTTAAATAGGTTAACTTAAATGTTTAATTATAATATATATTATATTTTAATTGAGTGGTCAAAACTTAGTACGCTTCGAATAAAATATAAATTAAAAAAAAAACTATAGGCCATTTAAATTGATTTAAAATTATAATACTCAAGACTGACGTGTTGTTTTTAAGAGTACTTTTATCGGTAGATCAATAATCATGCAATTATGCGTAGGTTCGTATATATATAGTATCAATATAAACAACAAAGTCGTAATATAATGTTGGTAATGTATAGTAATATGAGTAATATGCGGTTGTTAGTGTTAACTGTATGGATTAACAGAACAGTATATTTATAATCACTATTATACACTATATATGTGTGTACATGGATATTGGATTGTATATTCAGGGGGTTGGTTTTCCGGGTTCACACCCTCATCATCGAATTTATTTTTTTAGTATAATAGCCATATAGTATTTTATTAGCTAGTAATTTCATTTTTGTTCATATAACCACTATATAAAATCTTCCCACCCCTTAAATTTATGTTGGCTACGATTATAGGTTTGTGTGTGTGCGATACTGTGTTCTATAATTAAATATTTTTATACGTACGTCGCAATCAATATCGGTCTTATCGATTTGTTCACAACATTTTATCATATCTGCAAACACAGTTACCGGACGGTAGCCGTAATTATTCAATGTTATGTCTGCGAAATGTACAATAATATGATTAGAACAATAGAACTAGACAATCGTTATGAGATAAAAAAATACTTGACACTTAACAGTTTAAATATAAATGCATATAATTTAACTAACACGGTGCGTGTGCTGTAAAACGTATTATTTTGCCATCTACGTGCGTCTTTTTTTTTTACCATATTGAAATTTATAGTATCGTTTTTTCGGTATCTATTCTATGTAGGTAGGTATATGATTACGAAAGGATGAAATCAAACTTTCATATTTATTATTGTTTTCATTCAAAAGTATATAATGCGGTATAAATAACGCAACACAGTTCGTCGTGGAGATCGAGTGATGTATACAAACAGGTATTCGCAAAGGTATATAAACGTATCACATCGGACAATTTTGAGGGAAACGATAAATTAACTAAAACAAAACAAAACGAAAACCGAGTGTCATACACAAACTCACACACGTTTAAAATATACAGGCACACAGACTCACACAAACCTAACCGACCGACAAAAAGAACGTATACGCCGTTGTTACTATTATGTGACTGAAACGAGATTGGGTGCATGCGGCGTATATATATATGTAAGTGTAATGTGCATGGTATAAACAGTGTATTGTTTATGTTGACAACATGCGAAAAAGAACACGCGTCCGTAATGCAGTTGATCACGCGAACCCCCTCGTACACAATACGATAATATGTACTCCGGCCGAAAATATATATCTGTACATATATATTTAGGTATAAACGTAATATACACACACACACGTGCTTGAGCGTGTACGTGTGTGAAAACAAAAATGATACAAAAATATTATACACGTATATAATGTATACGTAATTACAAAACGACGAGATGGTCTTTCGCCTTTGGTGGAGTGCGTTTGCAACGAGGGGCCCAGCCTCGGACTACCTTCACCGCGCCGCCGACACCGCCCCGTCGGCCGGAAACTTCAATCAAAACCGCACTGTATATGTATATATTATATAGTATTATTATTATTATTATTATTATTATTATTACAAAAAATGTATTGTAGATGATAATATCATCATATTATATATAGGTACGAGTATAAAATTCTGTATATATAGTATTAATACCTATACTGTTGGCGTCGTTGGCGAGCGGACGCTGTCGTCGAGCGGCAGATCGACACGGGTAGTCGAATTCCGAGTATATGAACGTGGATGATATTTTGCAAGTAGTGAAGCGGTCGTCTATTTTATATATATAGGTATGAATCGCGCTATATACGAAAAACTATTATGATTAAAGGGCACCGTCGTGCGTGTGATAATGATACACTAGTTATGTGTCTTGTGAGGTAATAACGAGAAAAATATATTGCTGGTTCATATTATATATATATTTGTTATAACATAGTATATTCTATAATAGGTACCTATGTAATATATAGTATGTTATATAAATATAACCATATACTTGACAAAAGACACCTTAGATCATCTGACAAATACCTATACATCACAATATTATATGTATAGAATTTTTGATGTAGGTATAAAAAACATCTAGTTAAATATCAACAAAAAAAAAAAAAAAAAAACAATAATAATAATAATAATAGTAATATATATATATATTAAAGTTATAAATCTTTTCTTTGTAATTCAACAATTAAAATATTTATAAACTGTTATACCGTATAATTATAGTATAATTTACTTACGATTAAGGTAATGATAAAATAATAATTGCAAAATTACTCGTTAAATAAACACGTGTCCTTGACGATATCAATTTACAATAATATATTATTTTAAGGTCATTTTAATTATAATATTTTATTAGATTATTTTCAATATGATTAAGTAGACTTACAAAATACTATGGCAAAATCCCCTTCCTTCCAAGGAATTATACCAGAACCCTGAAAGTGATATAATTCAAAAATATACAATATAAATAATAAAGTTGAATTGTTCTATTATTTACCGTTATTCTGACATCACTTTTCACAAAAACAATTAAAAACCCGATATACATGAAAACCAATATGAACGACATTTTACACATAAAGTCTTGAAAACAAAATAATATTTAATATCTTGTTTGATAGAAAATATATGTATTACATAGTATTACACTTATCATATTTACGTACTACACTACAAACAATATTATTACAATTATTATTATTACTATAGATAATATATTTTTTGGATTTTCGTGATGTTGTTTAGATTTAAAATAAACTCATAACAACGGATAGTATATTATACATTTATTTACACAAGTGGAAATGACTAAATATACCCATAGATTATATGAAACATTAGGCGTAAGATTTCGTTTGGTCTATGACAAACAATTTTTCTGGTTGTCCGATAATTTTCAAAAACTAATTTTGATCTTATTAAAATAATTCTTGCTTTAATTTATAGTTTTAGATGAAATATTATTAAAAAATTCAATATTGCTTGATTTACAATCAAAAATAAATTTAGGTTTTCCGTATTTTGATGAATGTTCTAAAAATTAAAGTTGTTGTAGTAGTTTAATTTTAGACATTGAAGGAATATCAAGTACAGCATTAAATAGGTCTATAATATTTTTAACATTTCAATTATGAATCTATAGTAGCTCAATTGCAACTATGCCGATTCTTTAAACCACTACTGGTAACTTAATGGAAAACACACCCAATGAAACAAAAACTAACTATGGTGATTAAATCTGGGAAAAAAAATGTTTCATTTAAAAAAGACTTTAAAAAGTTTAATTCAACAACTATGTAACTACGATACAGCTTAAAATTATTTAATAGTAAGTTAAAAAATTTATCACCAGGAGTATTTGTTACTGTTAAATCCCATATTAGTTTAAAAAAAAAAAAAAACTAAAATAATGTTATGAAAAAAAAATCGATTAGGTATAAGTTAAAAATAATAAGAAAATAAAAGGGGGGGGGGGTGATCTACGACGTATAGGTAACGTAAGAAAATTGGGAACGATAACTGTTGAGTGATGTTAAAAATTTAATAGTAAGTACTAAAGTTGTTTTATAGTGCCTATGGTATAAATCGGTGACAAATTAATATCAAATGGGAAAATATGAGAAGATTTTGCTGTATATAATATTTCATAAGACGCTTAGTTATTAGTGTTATACGAATACAATATAATATATACCTATTGAAATAAGATGTTAATATAATATATTTTACTTAATCAATGACCAGGTAATAATATACATGGATCAAATGATGAAACGAAACTCATTAAACACACGAATAGAACGAAGGATTATTTTTAAATATTTTGTTAAGTTATCAAAAATAGTTATAGACACGACTAATTGTTTGGATTCCATGATCAACAGAATTAATATAATATAATATATACATGTTTACTATCTAGGATATAATATATTTATCTATAAATATAGGTATTACAAATAAATTTTGATTGTTGTGAAATGCCATTAAAATATATGCTAATAAAATTAAACAATTAGCATTAAATATCTAAGCAAACATTATAACAATATTTCATGTTAAATATTTTTTGAGTATGCAAAAACATAAAAAATACAGATATTTTATTTTTTTCATGTTTTTTTTGAAACGTTTGAAACTATTGAAAAATTACACATGATAATTTTTCTATTTTGTCTGTGAAGTATGAATGGATGATACTTTTCAAATGAGAATATGCTGTTGGTTTTGATTAGAACATCCACGTCCAAACTTCGATCAAGATTACTTGTTCAAGTTCTTTTTACGTTTTAGAATTTATACCAACTTCAATTACATTTCATAGTATTAATTTAGTATTCTGAAAAAAAAAAATAGAAAGCTAAAAATTTACAACTGTTGTAAAGCAATATTTTGTAATATTTTACTAATTTTAAAATTATTTTTAGTATTTTAATTTAATAAATACTTTTTTAAATTCTGAACGAAGCGATGAGTGTATTGATTTTACAATGATGTGTATTTATATTTTTGTGTGTTTTTATGTACACAATAAATTGAAAAGATGATTTGATTTTCAACTTTGAGAGTGGTTCTGAATAGCAATTTGGATCTAGTTTGTATTTAAGAGAAGATTAGTGATTTAAAATCATAAACTTAGCATAAAAATGTGTTAAAACTTTTAAAGTTTGATAAAAAAAAAGGATAAAATAAAACAGATAATAAAGTTACTGAAAAATACAATATGGTTAATATATTAACAAATTATGTGTATGATTCGATTAGCATCATGTATACGATATAATAGTTAAACCGTTAAAATTATTAAATCAAAACATTATTTGAAATTGTAAATAATCTATATCAAACGATAAATAAGTACTGCTGTAATAGGTACATGTCTCTAATATGCCTGTAATAAGGCCAGAGGAAATAATGGCCTATGAGCGACGTATATCTTACAAACTAGTTTTGTATTGATAGGAAGATAATAATAATGTATACTTACGTTTTTTTTTTTTTGTTTTTTCACTATTATTATTATGATTTTTTTTTGTTATTGAAGCGAAGGAAGTGATATAGCGTGACCGAAATGCGATTGAAAAATAAATAGGGAAAATATTGTCAGAATAAATGAGATAAAATTATAGAAAAATACATCACAAAAATCGAAGGCCAACCGATGTTGGGCGATTATAATACCAATTTGAAGCATGTAATTACGTATCGGAGCCCTGAGGATTTTGCCCCTTCATCTAAGTATCAAAGTCTCAATTATGCGGATTGATGTAAACACTGCGTACATGTGATGGATCTAAAAAAAAAAAATGTTAGATGGATGTGGAATGTAACCAGGGGCTAATTTTAAATATGATTATATGAAAGTTTTTTTATTATTTGGTACCATCGTCGAATTTTATGTAAAGTTTAACGTTTAGCATAAATGTGAAACTGCCGAATATCTAATTTCTTAGTTATTTAAACAATTTTTAATTTTTATAGTTTTTAATCTGCAGAATTTACGGTGTATCTATTCAAGTAAATACATTAATTTTGCCTATGTATTGAAAAAATATTGTAAAATATTATAGTCAAATACAATTGCAAAATTATACTTATGTATGCATACAATTAATATTAAAACAGTTTTACTTTTTATTGAGTACCATTTTTTAATTACTTCTTTTTCTATTGAGT